ACTGAATTAGATGAATGGGTAAAATATAAAAAATTACGAAGTGGCATGACAAGGGTAATGAAGTGTGCTCGCCACAGGCAAATATGTGAGTATTTGGAGGGGAATGTCAAATGTATTAGGACCTTTTTTCTACAGTTCATTCAAAGCTTTTTTTCCAGAAAGGTTTTCTCTCTCCCTCCTCAATGAAAGTCTTGTGAGAATTCTATTAGCTTCAGAAAATCCCTCTAATTTCTTGTTGCCAGATATATACCTGTATACGCAAGAATAAATTAATTATTCCAAACAAGTCCAGTGCTAGACAAGTAGCAAGTAAAAATAGCACAACTTGCACATTCTTACTAAGAGCTAGCTCAGCAGTCAGCGGCACTGCCTGAATGGTCAACTATAAAAGCTCCTGTTATGCAGTAACCTGATTTGACTGTTTCCTCTCCCAAAATGTCCTATTTAAGCGACTTAGTATGTACAGGCAAGTCTCATATTTTGTGCATCTGAAAGTGTGTCAACACTGAAAGAGCAAGATCTGGGTAAATGTGAGCTACTGACAGCAGTAATGAGTCTCTCTGAGAGGAAATGGTGCACTCTTCCTGTCATCGTGGTTTCTCTTTCTCGATGGTGGAGGGGAAAGGAATGAGGAAAATAGAGACTCTGCCGCATTCAAAGGCAAGATCTTCCGATGGTGAGGCTTTCTTGCATTTTATCTGATGTCCGTATTTACAAACTTGAGCACATGTGGTTTCATAGAAATGTTCAGAAGGGAAGATAGAGGCGATGAGCAGCACATGCATGACCTGTTTTCTGCGGTGGTTGAGAAGGGCGTGCTGGATGCCAGGCCCATGGGGCAGCAGTGAGAGCCACGGCACACAGTTGGTGACACCGCCGGAGTTGTGGCAAGAAGCTGGCTGTGAGGCCACAGGATGCACATGCGTACATGAGCCCAGTCGCAGTCCAGCGGCAGCTAATTTCCTTGCTGTGTCATTTGCAGACCAGTTTCAAGTGACACACAAGATAGCATTCTTCTATACACATAACAATTACTGCCCCATCCATATAGCATTTTGAACATTTTCTGTGATAAACAGTGCTAGATATTTTTTTTTATTTTCTACTATCAACATTTTAATTTTCACCCCTAAAAAGCATGCACAGTTCCACACAGAGGTGTAATCTCTGCGTGACTGTTTACAATTCCAGTGTTATACCCTTTCTTATCTGTTCACTTTGGCTAATGTGGCTTGATGATTTCACTCTGTGTTTTCCCTTTTCAATTGTATACATCAGATAGCAGATATTCATACTTCCCTTCCGTCATGTGACACATTTTCATAATGCAGAGTGACAACGTGGCAGACTTACATTTGCAAAGAATTAGCCTTCATCTACTTTACAGCATTTCTTAGAAACTAGCACTAATACTAATTTTTACAGTATAAATTAGGGAATGCAAGGTATGGGCGGTACTGTGCTTGCAAATATTAAATTCTATGCATTACATTTCTGCAGATAGTCAGTACTCGCTCAATTAGTCTGAAGATTCATTTGTTATTTGAGGCTAATTCTATTTCTGAAACAGCCTCCTTAAAGCTGTATTATCTGCTTCATCTCTGCTAGCCTGCTATCTCTGATATGACTGATGCTTTGGAAGATGTTGCCGTGAAAGAAGAGTACGCATGCAACAGTGTACTTCAAAGCTAACAAACTGCCATCCATCATCTCTTTTACAGTATGTGCTGGTATAAACAATGGGGAAATCGGAGGCTTAGTGAGGTTGCATTGAGAAGTGGTGAATCAGAGTTTCATTGAAAATTTGTTGAGGGTGCTAGGCTATAATATTAAAGGTATTCAATGTTCCAGATAAATGTATATGTAGCTTTCTGTAAAGAGCTTAGGTATTTTAACTCTACTTACTTCAGCTCAAGGTGAGTGCTTTCAAACTCCTCAAAACTGCAGTAGGCAACCACTTGAATGTTAAAGGCCTTGATACCCTTAAAAACCTGAACCCCAGTTCCTGATGACCAGTAGATTTAGCCTGTCAGCTCAACTCAGTCTTGAGTACAGCACTGTATGAGTGTTACCTACCTACCCACTAAAACTAGGTCATTACCAACCATCTGAACAGTAACTCAGAAGTAATGAATGAGAAATATCCCTCTTGGCCTGTATTTGAAGTCATGACATAGAGATAAAAAGCTAACTATGCCATTATAACCATCCTAACCCTCCAGTCTTACCATCCTTTGTAGCTCTAATTAAGCATGCAAAAAAATAAATATCTTCCTGACAGTCTTTCCTCAGGCTTGGTATGAGTGATCTGACAACGTCCAGAAAACTGCCATGAAAAGATGTCATGAAACAATTTTTCATTCTAAGAGCTATTTTTTTTATTCTAAATAGATATTATTTTTTAATTTCAAGAAAATGTAGCAACATTCTAAGCTAGGATCCATGTGTCTGAAACTACAGCAAAGCCTACACACTCCAGTTACAATAAATAAATTTTTTTAAAGTTTACTAGTAATATTTTTTTTTAAGACAGAAGAATTTGTGCTTTTAAGATTGTATCAGTGAAAGATCTAGCAAGCTGAAGTGCTTTCCTTTTCCATTCCAACTAAATCATACACTATTTGGGGTAGAAATTTGGCAGGGAACTCTTGTTGGATTATCCCTACATTGTGGCTGGACTGATTTCTTTATCCTTTTTTGATAGATGGATGTCTAGCCGAGCCCTGAATATCTTCAGTGGTGCTGATTCCAAAGCTTCATTTGGCAGCTGGTTTCCTTGGCTATATGAGTCCTTATGTTTATAAACTTTTCCCTGATACATAATCCTAATTTTCCCCTCACAGTTCTTAGGGCCACTTTTTTTTTTCTCTCTTTCTTTCTTTTCTTTCTTTCTTTATTGTTAACTAATGAGAATAATCAAATATTGTCTCTCCTTCATTTCCTTTCCATTGTGGACAATAAGAGGTCACTTTAAACTTCCTGGAATTAACGTGATTAATTCGCTCAACATCATACCGTGGGTCTTATTTTGCAAGCCTACCATCACTTTTCTTAAGTCTTAGCTCAAGACTTAGGCAACTTTTTTTAAACAAAATATCTAAAACCAGTTACAGTACTTCAGCACATAACCATAAATGACCATAAAAAAGAATAAAGTTTTCCCTTCTCATTACGTATATTTCCATGGATTATGCTGTACAAATGGGTACATTAGCTGATTGTGTGGATGTTTCATCAGACTAGAAAATGTAAGAGTTTGTAGAGCTGAAAAACATCAGTGCTGCAAAAAGAATGACGCTGATCATTGAGACAACAGTTGGAGAGAGTAATTCTAATCAGCAAAGAAATGAAATAGTAGATCAGTATCAGTGCTAAATCCCACTGAATTGGGAGGCTGGTGTCTCTGTAACCACTACAAGACAGTTAAACAGTGTCAGGGAAGGAGAGATTTATTTTAGAGGGAGTAAAGACAATGTGAGAAAAGGAGCAGTGGGATGCGAATTAGCACTTTGAAAAGCTGCTGAAAAGGAGACATTTTTAGGAGCTGAAGAAGGGCCTAAAAATGGCTAAAGAGTCTGGGGGAGATGTTTGTACATTGGGAAATTACAGAAGATTATGTTAGCCATGCAGCGCCAAGCTGTACCACTCAGCAACAGTTCATGGGTGAGGACCCTGGGAGGAAGGAGGCTGAACTATATCCCAAATGCAGAGAAAGGTGAAGTAAGCCAAGTCCTGTCTTTCTTCCAAACAATTCCTACCTGCTAGCAGTTTCTTCCTTGGTATGTGCAGAGTTTTGTGCATTCCCTCCCAAGGTGCTCAGGCATGGTCCTTGGCACAGTATAGCACATCTTTTCTGGATAAATTCCGTTAGGTGCATTAGAACAGAGACATTCTTTGGTGGACCTAGCCCTGGGATGGATTTTCACAAAATCATCATTGAATCAAAAGTACGAAGTATCTGATAGCTTCTGACAATTCCACTAAACATCTATTTGTCCTAAGTGCCCCGACTGGTCATTGAAGCTCCGTGGATCAGACAACAGGATGTGTGAATGCACACGGAAAGACGGATCACGATGGTATGACCCTGGGAGTCTTTTCTATTAACAGGATGAACACTTCGTTCAGACTGTGTTTGCTCAAGCTTCCGGACACATCTCATTCTCATCAAACATGCTCATATGACTAGCGGGAGCTGTACCAGAGTGTCATTAATCTAATTTGCCAAGGCATTCTCACACTACTAATCTGGCATGCATCATTCTAGTTACCATGTAATCATTTACATTTTGTCAGTAGTTACAGTACCAAACATGCCAAGACTATTCAAATATTTTTGACCATTTCTCTAGTTCTGTTCCAACCATGAAAAGTAACTCAGCCAATTCCAATTATAAAAGAACTGCTTCATCTGGGCATTCATCGCTTGTAGTGACACTTAAACAAGTTGCTTTAGAGTAGGAGTGTCATGGCCACTGAGTAGAAAACTCACAACAGCCTCCAGGCTGACCCAGTTTGCCAGGTAGCTTTTAGCCACTATACCATTTCCTCTGAGCTGTGAACCCTTTAACCTCTGCATGTGCAGCCACATCAGTGTGTTCAAGGAACACTTATTTCTGCATCTCTCTGACCCCTATCATCAAGCTGAGGATTACCAAGTTCTGCTTTTCACTATAGGACTATTGCTTTTAGGACGTGGGAAATGTGGTTCCTTTTTTAAATAAAGGAAGTCTGAGTAATTCTGTAAAGCCACGAAGACCATACTCTGCATACACGTTTATTCCAACACCTGACATCATTTCAGAAGTTCTGATGTCCAAAATGACCTTATTAGAATCACAAAGCTCTTAAGCAACCACCTAGGGGAATTGTTTTCCTGACACTGAGAACAAAATTCCCCAAATCAGAATACTGCACTTGAAAGTTTTCTTGAGACTATAAGAATTTGTTGTGCCTCCATCTGCTCAATAATTTGCTGCTAAGCATTACTACTGTATACAAACGATCTGGCAGCATTTGTTCCAGGTTGAAGAGCCACTAGATTTGGTCTGACATTGAGAAAAGTTCTGCCTTGCTGGAATACCTGGTTTTGCATTTAGGTTTGCATCTTCCACTGGCTTGCTGTAGGATGCCACATACCTAGTTCACTCTCTGGAGCCTGCAACTGCAGTCTTTGATAGGAGTAGACAGACAGGCCTGCTCTCTGGTGGAACAGTTCCCATTGATGTGCAGTCTAGAGAAATGCCACTTGGAAATCATTCCTGCATAAAATGTTTTCATGGCCATTAGGACAACTAGCAAGGCAGCCAGGAGACCTCAAGCTCTTGGGCTGCTGCTGACACCAGTTACCATTCAGGTCCTACCCCTTTCAGCCAGTGCCAGAACACTGAAGCACGGGCCAGAGTAAGCTCACTGGAGTTCGACAAAAACAAAAATTGAGCACAGTGACCTTGAGGAAGCAACTGGGGACTATCTGCATAGCTGTGGCCAACCCTCTGGCCATACAAGCTACCAACCTTCCAAAGGAACAAGGTACCCACTACGCACCTTAGGAAGCCAACAGATGTATAGGAGATTCAGGATCAATTAGCAGGAGGAGATAATCAGCTCGCCACTGGTCCATAGACAGATGTGTAGATCCTGAACCTGTCAGGCCCAGGGACAACCTAGCAGTATCAATTTCAGCAGCAGACACGGGTGCTGTTCCTCACTTACTGACCAGGACACCTTGCTGGGGAGGCTTACAGTGCTCTTCAGCTAGGATAGCCAATCCTCTGGTCCTACTGAGTCACTTATAGCTTATGGTCTGGTATCTGAACAGCACTTGCTCCTACTTCCATATCATATTTAAGGGCAGGGAGGGTTTTAAAGCCAGAATCCCGTATTAAACAAAGTGAGTACCGTCAGTGCTTTTTGAGGTTCAGCGACCTTGCCACCTCCAGACCAAACCAGTTAAAAACGATGACATTTCAGGCATGAGCTGCTTTTTTGATATGGCTTTGAGGACAATGGAAGGTACATTTTTAGATGGATGAAAGGAGAAGAACCGGGCCAACTAAACTAATTACCTGGATACTTCCTAGTACAGCTCAGGAGAATCAAGTTCTAATCTGAATGAAGTGCCAGGCAGACTAGAAACCTTGTTATATGAATACTTACATAAAGTCACTAATTAAAATGAAAGCAATTGCTAACACTTTAAATTTACAAAGCTCTCTATAGCTGGGATTTTAACAGAAGTTAGTCTAAACATAACTCTGACCATTCAAGTCTGTGGTAAAACTACTGACAACTGCAGAAGCAGGCGGAGACCTCAGAAACTTTTTTTAAAGAATTTTTATACGCACACCTCACTGTTTTAAAGCATTTTGCAAGCACATACACCTCAGAGGTTTTATATAGCTGGTGAGTAAGCTAAAACATATGAGGAAGAAATAATTTACTCTAAGCCACAGAAGAAATCTGTGTCAGAGCTAGAAGTTGGACTCAGAACTGTTGATATCCTGCTCTTCTCTGTGGCATGGGAAAGTCTTCTCACTGAGCTTTTCAAGTCCACAGGGCAGAAACAATACTATCAGTGAGTTAAAGCTGTCTGAGTTGTTTATGAAGAAAAGTAGCCATGATGATACCTGTAGCTCTACAGTTTTCATTTCCTTATTATAAAACAGAAGATAGTTCTTACTTAAAAGCACCCATTCCAGCTTAGGCTGAGTTTAAGTGCTTAATGCAGTTTAAATAGAGAGCATAGGAATTTAAAAAAACCTAACATGTTTTATCAGATCCTTTCAGCTGTCATGGTTACGTTTTTCAGGGAAAAATATAATCAATAGACATGACAGAAGCATACAGAAAACATTTCAAGTTTCCTTCCTATTTTGTCTTCTAGAAATCAGGAAGAAAACCAGATTCTTCTTCCTGAAATACTTACATTCCCCCTGAAAAAAAAATAGAGTATGTATAACTACACAGCTGATTTTCAGCATGTGACCTCTGATAAATGTCAGTTCTTTGGGAAAATGAAGAAACGGTGTTTAAAATAATAATTAAAAAAAAATACAACAAAGAAAAACAGAAATTAGACAGTGACAAAACAGCATTGAGGCAGATTTCAGGAAATATATTTTCTTTTCCAGTGTTACATTCCAAGGTATTTTTAAATCACAGATATTGAAAACAGATTCCCATACAATTCTTAATCAGTTACAGTAGCCACCAGGGTTAGTCATTCCTAACATGTGGCAAAAAATATAATATTTCTAACTCAAGCCATATCATGCTGGTATTTTACCAGCATTCCTCATGCTATTGTTACAATTCCACTAGTTTCACAGCATTTGATTCTTTCCGAATGTAAGGACATAGTATCTCCCTTTCTGATATTAACAGCAAGCAGTATAATCATAATAGCCATGGCTCTTTTCATCCCACTGTCTCAAGATGCTTTGATCCTTATCCCTGATTTTGTAGATGAAGAGACTGCCACTCGGAATCATGAGGTGACTCTCTGGAGTCAGCCAGCAGTAAGCTTGCTGTAGGGCCTGGATTGGAAAACTCAGCACTTCCCAAACTTTAAAGAGCCTATCTGCTCTCACACATAAAAGACGCTTCTAATTGCCTCCCCCCAATCTGCACCACAGCAATGCTGGTCTTGTGCATCTCCGGGGCAGCATGGCTTCCTCCCTCTGAAATTGGGATCCCAACCCACCAGTCACAGCTAGTACACAGCTCTGTAATCGCTTGGAGGCAACATTCTCTGGGGTGGATCCCTGAACAGGGGTGACTCTCCCCCACAGAGGCCAGGGAGAGAGATGCCCCATTGGAAAGCTGATGCCGTGGTCCTTCTGCTGCCACATGGGGCTGTGCCCCCGGAGAGAAAGGGGCACAGGGAGGCACAACCCGAGGTGGGTGCTCCGGCACACAATCCATGACCCACCACAGCTGACATGTGTCACATGCCAGTCCTTACCCCTCTGATTTGTATCAGATTCAGATGTTAGGAATCCACATGCACTAGGGTGGCACATTAAGTTTTTTACAAAAAAAAAAAAAAACAACAGAGAGACTATTACTCATCTACAACACACTCATAATTAGTGAAACTTGCTGTTTCTATAAAACACATTAAAACAAATCACATTAACAAAACCTATCTCATTTCAGAAGCAACTTGTATCCAATATTTAATATTTTAAAACCCATTAAGCACTTCATTTAACAATGGAGTAACTAGAAAATTCTGAGACAAAAGCTATAAAAAGAGACATGAACTATTCATTGAATGGTGATGGAAAGAGATTCAGAAAGAAATCTTGAAAAGCTTGCTGCAAAGCTATATCAACATTTTTAAGAGAAACCATTCCTCGCTAGCTATTATAAAACAAAGCAAAGTTCCATATAAAAGTTCAAAACAAGAGTTGCTGTCATTAATGCAGAATACTTCAGAAGAAGCTGCAAAAGCCTGAAGATGTGCCATCTGCAACACTGGATGGGGTTTCTGTTCTCCATCAACAGTGCTAAGAGTACCAAGTGACATATCACACATTTCCCCACAAATTCAGTTTGGGCATGACCAAGCATGATTATAAAACTGGACAGGAAAGACAGAGATGGGTAAAAGACATGAAACCTGGAAAAGCTGGATAATTATGTTTCAAAATCAACATATTATTTTTACACACACAAAAATATTTTAGTTGAGTTTTTAATTTAATTTCAAGTTAACCTGTATCTGTTTGTTTGGGTTTTTTCTACAATATCAGTTTTTCTTAAATTCCCTGCGGTTAGAGGGAAGAAAAAACAACCTACCACCTGACCAACGGCAGGGAAAGGCTCATTCCCAGACACTCAGGGATGGTTATCTGCCTCCTGCATAAAATACAATACAGTGGCTAGCAAAGTACTGCTGACTT